CGCTGATTCTGGAACCGTCGTCTCCTCGCCGCCTTGCAGAGAGAGCAGCCTGAGAAGAAGGCTGGAGATGGAGAAATCGGGCGATCTGTCTGTTGATGAACCGGCAAAACGGTTCACGAGAAATCCGGAACGGAAATACTCGTATCTGAAACTGATCAAGCCTCTGTACGGCAAATCATCCAAGCACAGCGAAACGAGCAATCTCATCCCCGATAAGATCTCGGCCACGTCCGCTCTGTCTCCGGCGAGGGAGGCAACGGCATCCTCGAGACGGCTATCAGGGAGCAGGCCGGCCGGGTTCACTGCAGTACGGAGACACCTGGTGAAGAGTCGATCGGCGGCGGAGGCGCCGGCGCCGGCGAGGAGACGAGACGACTCATTGCTGGAGCAGAATGATGGAATCCAGAGCGCAATTCTTCATTGCAAGGCATCGTATAACTCCATTACCCCAGGTACTTTTACTCATTTACTCGTATATGAATATGTGATGATCTTTCAATCTCGTAACTCGAAATGAAACGAATAAATTAAATGTTATCTCCAGGAAACGGCGGTTCAATATTCTCACGATCCGCAGGTGAATGCCGTCGCCAGAAATCAACAGATTTGCAGAGGCGGAGCATTTGATCGATAATCTCTCTCAATTAGTTGTTAATTAGTTACTGTATTAAGGAGAGTACGTAATTAATCAATTTTTTATTCAAAAAAAAAAGAAGAAGAAGAAGGAGAAATGAATTTGGGGTTTGAAGTTTGAATGGCAGGGGGGAAATAGTCAGACTGCGGCGTCCAATAGGTTTGCAGGAGTAGTAGTGAGGGGTCGCCTCTGGGCTCTGTAAATTAATTAAAGCTGCGAAGATGACGTAGAGACGAAAAATCAGAGAAATGAAATGATTGAACAATGGGAAAAATGGGGGGTACTTGTTTGTTGTGCTCCAAGTTTTGGAGTTGATGATTGATTGTGCGGAATGGGACTGGGGGGTTGGAGCCAAATGTCATTATTACACCACTTCCTACCGTATTATAATACCAATATATAATTCGGGTCAATTACGAATGAGTGCCATATCAAGTTATCAAACCTTTCATTGCAGGAAAATGCTAAGGAGATGTATCCCATTTGTTCATCACCCCTTTCATTCTTATTCAAATAGGCAAGAAAAGAAAAAAAAGTAAATAAAAATAAAAAATAAATGAGTGATTATGGAGAGGGTAGTGTACAAATAAAGTACACCTTTGCTCTGATTTTTTTTAGTTTCTTGCTTTTTTTTTTGTGGTGATGGAGGAGGTGGGGGAGAATTGGGTACACCAAATGGTGTATCCCTAGCATTTTTCTTTTAATTACCTACAGTACTGAAAATACCTTTGAAGCCTCGGGTTTTAAAATTTCTATCTCTGTTACATCAACTTTAACTTATCTTACAGTTTTACTAGAAATGAGTATGAAGCTCTAGAGCTTCAAAGTTCAAACTCGAGGTTCAAACCTTGACTTTCTTAATTTTTTATTACATATTTTATGAAATTAAATTAATAAGACTTCATTAATTAATTAAATTTAAACGACAATAATTCATTAAATGAAAATAATTATCTTCAATAAAAAAGAACATTTAATTTAAAAAATTACATTAATTAAAAACTTAAAACAAATTATATTTAGCCTTAATCTCGTTATGTCTTCTTTCGAAAGCAAATTATATTCGTTTGGTCGTTTGACTCAAAATCGTACAAAGGAAGATCAAAACTGAAGAGATTCATGTTAAAAAAGATAAAAAAATTAAATATTTTTTAAATTTGAAGAAGATACAGGAAAATTTTTTGTGGGTGTTAAGTTTCTTTTTAATTGAAGAAGAAAGATTTTGTTTGTAAGTTTTATTTTTAAGAATGAGTTAATTTATAGAAGAGTTTTTTTGAGTTTGTAATGGCTTGTAGCCATTTGAATGGGGAGATTCAGTGCAAAACGTCTGTTATAAGTTTGACGCAGTGCTAATAACGTCCGTGGGGTGTTACTCCCATTACCATTACCATCTATTCAACTTTTACATGCTGTTTGGTTGAGAAGAAATTATAAGGAAATAAAATAAATGAAGAGAAAAAACACATACTTCAAGGTGTTTATTTTGTTTGGTTGGAAGAGAATTGGTGGGGAGAAGAGAAAAAGGAGACAAAAATTAACCTTAAAGTTTTCTTTCCACATAAGAGAAGAGAATTGTAGGTTGGGAAGGAAAACAAGCAAAATTATTATTTTGCCCTCTTTATTTATAATTTTAGTATTACAGAGTAAGGGTAAATGTGTCTTTTTGTTTTATGACATTTTCTTTCTTCTTCTCATTTTCCCTTCACTTTCTATCCATCCAAACAATAATTATTCTCTTTTCATTTTCTCTCTATTTTCTTTTTCATCCATCTTCATTTAACTCATTTTCCCTTTTTATCCAAACAATGGCTTACTTCCAATTCGATAACTTCAAACAAAGGAGCCAGTTATGCCAACATGTAAATCTAAGTTTTATATTTGATAAATGTGATGAAAGGTAATTATGCTAAACATACTTTGTGTAAGTACTAAGTGTATGCTCTTCTCTCTATTACCAATCTACGATTAAAGTTTAATTTACTCTTTTAGTAGTTATCCGACCAGATCTGAGAGAGTCATCGAAGACGAGGCACATCCTAGAGCTCACAATGCCATTGAGAAAAACATTACTTTTTCTCTTTTTTTATTATAGTCCATTACTAGATAGGAGTGTGGATCACGTCTACTTTTTTTCATCTATTCTCATTTACTAAAATCAATATTATTTTAAATAAAAACATCTATAATTTCTTTTAACATTAAAATTAATAATTACATTGGTATAATGCGAAATAAAAGAAAAAAGAAAGCAAACCACAAAAAAAGAAGAAGAAAGCGAGGCAAAGAAAGAAAAAGATATGATGGCCACCACGCGCATAGCGATCAAACCAAGGGGTGTGCTCTCCCCCATCCCGCACATACGTGACTGCCACGTAAGCCATCACGGCAAGTCATTCCCTCTCACGCCCTTCAATTTAGAACATGATACGTGAGTCATCAAACGAATGTGAAAAATATTGTATTTTGTTCCTCCATTTTTCAATGAAGGTCGTTATCAAACTATCACGTTTGTTCCGGAATATTTGTGTACCTTTGATATTTTGTATTCGAAATAGATTAATTTATCCATAAATTAAATAAAAATAACATTAGATATTAATAAAATAATAATTTATTAGATTTTTTTTCTGAACTATTTTCAAAATATTTTCAGACTATTTATTATTCACAAGGTCATATTTTGGTCATATTCTTTTTTACGTATTTTTGTTATCATTTGATTAAATAATATAATATTGTCACTTCTTTTTTGTAGATTTTTTAATGTAATTTTTAAATACTCCTTTTGTCCTATAATTTCATTCCCATTTTCACTTGACACGAAGGCTAAAAGAATTTAAAAAAAGGTAAAAACTTTTCATGTTGCCATTGATAAAATGAATAAAGTGAATAGTGTTCATAAAAAATGGTAGTTTAATGACACATTCATTAAAAGTACTTTTCTAAAATGGGAAATAGAAAAATAATTGTTGACAATCCAAAAAGGAAAGCACGAAATAAATTATTGGACGGAGGTAGTGTGATTTTTTTTAATCTCACACAATTTTTCTAATTATTAAATTAAAATAGTTTCATGCAAATCTTATAAATAAGAACAGACAATTTAAATTGAGACGCAAGAAGTATATTATATATACTATTTTTTATTTAATTACATGTTTAAAGTTATTTTTGGTTGATTTCAAAAAATATCAAATTGGTTATATTAACATTTCGAGAGAGTGGTGTACCCCAAATGTCCCTCATCCTCTCCATAACTATTCATTTCTATTTGATTTTTATTTGCTTTTTTTTAATCTTATTGCCTATTTTTGTAGACAAAAAGGGATATGAACATTTGGGGTACACTTTTTGTGTAAAGGTGTACCCCTGGCATTTTCCTAAATATGTTTATGGAGTGTACCCGATATACCCCATAAAAATATGTTCTCAAATACTTTCTCCGTCCCAAAAAGATCTTCCTGTTTCATTTTTTGCTCGTCTCATAAAACACTTATATCCCGCCTCAAATGCAAAAAAAATTTCAAAACAACTTCTACTTACAATAAATGAGAAATGTGGTAAATATTAGGCATTTTAGAAGTGTCTAAAAGTGTTTTATAAGATACAAAAAAAAATGAAACAGAAAGATCTTTTTAGGACAGAGGGAGTATGATTCTACATAGTCATTCTCACATTTTCTTAGGATAACGGACGGTTACCGTCACCGGTAACGGCACCGCCGGTACCCGCCACCGTCACCGGCGTCGTCGCCGTGTCACCGGTTCCGGGAACCGGTACCGGTACTGCCACTTTTGGTACCGGTTCCGGTACCTATATTTTTGGTACCGGTACCGGTTAATTTTTTTTTTTTGTTCATTTGAAATCCTGCAAAAAGTTTTAAAAAAAAAGTGGGGGGCACACCTCAAACGGCTATTAAGCCGTTGAGGTGGCCGTTTGAGGTGGGGGAGGGGAAGAGGGGAGGGGGGGGAGGGGGGAGGGGGGGATTTATCTATAAATTCTCTCATTTTTTACATAAAAAATCACTCAATTTCTCAATACATCTCTCAATCCTCTCATTCTCTCAATTTATCAATCTCTCAATCTTATTATCTCTATTTAATTTTTATACATTTAATATTCATATAATAATATAAAAATTTTATACTTTAAAATTTTGAAATTTTCAAAATTTTATACTTTAAAATTTTGAAATTTTCAAAATTTTAATATATAAAATTTCGAAATTTTTTCAAATTTTTCAAAATTTTAAATATTAATAATTTTTAAATATATTCTTTAATCTTTAAATAATTTAAATATATTCTTTATTTTTTGAAATTTTCGAAATTTTAATATATAAAATTTCGAAATTTTTTTAATTTTTCCAAAAGTAATATAATATTTTAATATCAAAAAAATATATATTAAAATGTCGAGGGATTCCGGTAGACGGTACGTGGATATGGGCGACGTCAACCGAAGATTGAGTAAAGGCAAAGCTAAAGCCACCTCCGACGGTTCGACCTCACGCGGACACGATTCTCGAGGAAGACACTCCGTCTCTTCGTTTCCTACTGTCCCAGATCATTTAATCGGGGACGCAATGACGGATGAAGAATTCAACCAGATTTATTCTGGTAGAGGAGACGCGAATCTCCCCACTCTTGATAGTCTATTCGAGAATGTTGATGAAGTAGGACTGGATAATCTTGTCCGTCCCAGTATCAACCGTAGCAGTTGAACGAGAATTCAGTGCTGGCGGCAACATTCTAACCGACTACCGAAGTTGTCTTAACGCTGAATCTCTTGAAACACTGGTTTGCAACCAAGATTGGCTCTTGGCAAGACGTCGGGCTCAAGAGTCATCGTATCAACTCGAATCAGAGCATTACATGAATGCAACCATAGATGGAAGTCCGAGTTCTGAAGAATAAGTTATAAATTTTTTTTATGTTAATGTAAATATGTAATTAATTTTTTTAGGTGAGCGATATATAAGCTCCTTCGAGGGTTTCTTTACGGTTCTTTACCTCGTCGCTTTTTTTGAACCGTCAGGATATTAAATGTGGTTGTTCTTCAGTTAGTGTATTACTTAATTTCAATATTTAAATAACAACTACATTTTTAGAGTTTTTATTTCATTCTTTCCTTAAACAATTGCAAATTTACAATTTTATATTTTAAAAATTTAAAAAAAAAACAAAGAAAAATAGGGGGGGGGGCGAACCGGGCCGGTCCGGTACCGGAACCGCCGGTCCGGGAACCAGAACCGGTACCGGCCGGCACGGTAACATTTCCGATTACTTGGAGTGGCGGTTCCGGAACCGTACCGTGTCCACCCCTAGGACGGTATCAACAAACCAACTTCCTAATTTTCAAAGGTTGCAATGTGTTCCCCCAATTCAAATACGACTTGATGGGTGTGTGTTTTGTAGTGTACCGCCGAAGTTCAACTTTGACTTTTTAGTCAATTATTTTTAATTTTTGGTTTATAATTAAATAAAATATATATTGTATATTAATTAGATAAAATTATATTTTAAATATATTTGATATAATAATTCTAATAAAACAATTTTTGTATAGATTTTTAATATCACTTTCATTTAATTTGAGGTCAAAACCTTATCAAAAGTAGACAAATAATCAAGTTTGAAAAAAGAATAATTTGTAATTGCCCTGTATCATTTTTTAATAATCCCTCCGTTCTTAAATAGATTACAATTTTTTTCTCTCTTCTCGATAACTTTTGTTTGTTTACGCGATTTCATTAATTATTTGATAAAATTAAATATTCTTGTCACCCTCTGTTTTGTAGAATTTTTAACGTAGTTTTTTAATATGTAATTTTTATATCTTATTGCTATACCAATTTGTAAATAAAATAATTTCAAAAAATATAAAATTTTACTCCATAATCCAAATTAGCAATTAAAGAGGATCAAGAAAACAATAAGTATGATGTCGTGGAGGTTGGTAGGGAGAGGTGCGCGCCATGTTGCAGGCTCCACTCCGTATAAAACATCAAAACTTTCTTTGTGCACTTATGGGAAATTTAATAGTCTGCACTTTCGGTCAAACAATGAATAAATATATCACTACAATCTTTGACATCATCAATGGTTACTAGTGATCTTTAAATCATGTTAACTACTCGGAGTATTTAAATATTTGCATAAAAGTAGGGAAAGAAATAAAATTTGTGTGTATTTGAAATACAAAAAAAAAACTCTATCGTGCATTTTGATTGCGTGTGAATATTCTTATATAAATTAAATTTTTAATATGTTTTGAATTAATCATCTCACTTTCACTCCACAAAATTTAAGAAAAATGTAGTAGTTGAAATTTGATTAAGCTAAAAGAAGATAAAGATTCTTTTCCACGCATTCTTTACTTTACTACTAGAAAATTAAGAGAGCGAGACATTTATTTTGAGATAGACTAAAAAAGATAATAAAACAATTTATTCAAGACAGAGAAAGCAAATACTTATTTTAATCACAAATAAATACGAGTTGGTAAAATGTTTAAAGAAAAATCATTTTTAACTCATATGGAGTAACATATTTTTCTTAATTTCTATTGGTTATTTTCTTTATTTTCAAAATAGGACGAGCCTATCTCCAAAAAACTTTTTTTGGAACGATTGCCGGAGAGGAGGTAAATAAAGATAAATAAAGATGGGATAAATGTGGGCTTATATAGAGACCCGAGTTGGATTGGACGGACTGAGGCTCCAAACAGAAGCAAAAGTGGATAGGGTTACGTCTCTCCCCTTGAGTGCAGTCAAAGGGCAATTGAGTCTTTCATCCTTTTGAGGGGCACACCAAATTGGAAAAGACCCAAAGACTTATTTGAGGAAATGTTTTCATGGATGTTCAACACACTAATTTCTTAATCAATTTTTATGACTTCTTGGCTTCAACAACAGCTCAATAATATGACATTCCCCACTTTAAACCAAATCCTTAGAGATTTATTTTTTAGTAGCTCCCAAATGATGTATGATCTCTCACTAATTAGTTGAAATTTACATATTTTTGAGTAGCTCCCTTCTATTTCTTTGAAAAAGTTCTGTTGGTAAGAGAGAAGTCAAAAAATATTGTACGAATTATCTTTTTTTATCATTCTTATTTGCTAGAATATGAAATTTTAGTGAATGATATCTCGGGCGAGAAGTTTAAACGGGTCAAGTCTTGTAATACGACATCTTAGAGGGTGTTTGGCAGTGCGCTGCCTTTTAATAATTTAGCTTCTGCTTTGAGTGAAAGTGATTTTACTCTGTTTGACATGTCAGTTTCTGCTTTTCACCACTACTAATTTGTACATAGAACACTGTTTCGGAGAAACACGTATGAAGTGCTTTTGTGAAAATCACTTTATCCACAAGTTAATCACTCCCAAACATCCTCTTAATTGCTCAAACATAGTTATAGCTTGTGGTATCCTAGGTAACAAACTCTACCCAACTTAAATTTATTATACTCTCTGTATTAGAATTTCGGTCAACCAAACTTTGCTTAAGAAATTGTGTAATTGGAAATTTTTAATATTTTATAGTGGTGAAATTTTTTATAATTTTAGTTTTCGGGTTGGGGTGAGGGTTTTGAGATGATAGAAAACATGAATTTTCGAATGTGGTACCGTAGAAGCTCCAATTGAAGCCCGAGTCATAGTATGACATTGAAGTTTAATGTTATTTGAACCTCTTCTGTAAACTAAAATGCATGTGTTTGAAAAAAAACATGAAAAATAATACTTGAATTAAAGGCCAAATCAACATGTTATTCATGATTTTTTTACTTTACAATCATGTCTTTTTGAAAATAGAAGGAATTGAAAGTTATTTCTACAAAACTCACGTCACCCGCGAGTAATTTTCTGCATAAAGCTCTATATTCTTTTAAGTGTAAACCATGCCTGCAATAGGAAATATTGGGCCAATAGATGTCCATATCAAACAAAATGAAAATAGACCCAATAATATTTGCCTAGCAGACCAATGGGCTTGTACCGGCCCAACAGAACGATTTACAAGCGAAATAATTGGGTCACGGAGTAGAGCACCGAGTACATAAATCATTGTTATAATCATTGCTGTTTGTGAAATAAAATTCTTGTAACTTTTCTGTCACCCTAAGATGTTCTCATTTTGATTTTTTTTTATTTTTAAAAAGAGTTAAAAAAGGTGAAAGTTTACCATAATACCTTTAATGAAATATGAGTGGAATGTATTAAATGAGGTGGGTGAGGTGTAATAAATAAAGTAAGTGGAGGTAGTTATGGTATTTTAATTGTTAAAAAATGAAATGAGAAGATCTATTGTGGACAAAGAAAAAGGGCTATTGGGAAGATCTATGGGGGACGAAGGGAGTATTTTATAAGTCTTGATATACTTTTTTAAAAAAATAAATTTAAATATATTATATATATAACAATTTTTAAATAAAAGAAATTAAATTTTTTTTATTAGTATTTCTAACTCCATCCGTGACACTAAAAGCAAACCCGTCAGCCAAATGGAGGCCAGGCCAGCTCACATAGACCCTCCCTCCCATTCACTATTTCCATCACTCCATAGTCTAGTGGCAGCCACATTATTATTGCTCATTTCTCCCCAATTATTCATTCATGGCCCAAACTCCCTCGCCGTCATCCCCGCCGCCGCCGCCGCCGCCGCTCAACACCTACATCCTCACCGCCTCCTCCATATCCTACGCAAAACCCACCGCCGCCATCTCTTCCACCTTCCACCACCTCTTCAACAACCCACCCTCCCGTTCATCCTCAACGGCTAATTACATCCTAAAAGATGTTTCCTTCACCGCACACCCTTCCGAAATCCTCGCCGTCGTCGGCCCCAGCGGCGCCGGAAAGTCAACCCTCCTCGACATCCTCGCCGCCCGGACGTCCCCAACCTCCGGCACCCTCCTCCTCAACTCCGCCCCGCTCAACCCCTCCTCATTCCGCAAGCTCTCCGCCTACGTCCCCCAACACGACGCCTGCCTCCCCCTCCTCACCGTCTCCGAGACGTTCGCCTTCTCCGCCCGCCTCCTCCACCCCAAACTACCCCCCTCCAGCATCTCCACCCTCGTCTCCGCCCTTCTGGCCGACCTCAGCCTGACCCACCTCGAGCACACCAGGCTAGGGAACGGCCTGTCGGGCGGAGAGCGGCGCCGGGTCTCCCTCGGCCTCAGCCTGCTCCACGACCCGGCGGTCCTGCTCCTCGACGAGCCGACCTCCGGGCTCGACAGCAAGTCTGCATTCAAAGTAATGCAGACTCTGAAGTCGACGGCAGAAACCCGCCGCCGCACCGTCATCGTCTCCATCCACCAGCCCAGCTTCAAGATCCTCTCCACCATAGACAAAATCCTCCTCCTATCCAAAGGCGCCGTCGTCCACCACGGGACCCTCTCCTCACTCGAAGCCTTCCTCCTCGCCAACGGCCTCACCGTGCCTCCCCAGCTCAACTCACTAGAGTACGCCATGGAAGCACTCAACAAGCTCCCCGCAAGAAACAATAATAATTTCAATCAAACATCGTCTGTGACTTCAGCCACGACCCCGTTACTCCGGAGTTGCAACTACAGGAGTACGAGGTTTCAGGAAATTTGTGTTCTCTATAAGAGGTTTTGGAAGATCATATTTAGAACCAAACAGCTTTTATTGATGAACACATTACAAGCTTTGGGAGTGGGTTTGGTTTTGGGGACAGTTTATATAAACATGGGATACGGGAAAACCGGAATAGAAAAGCGGTTAGGGCTATTCGCGTTTACGTTGACTTTCTTGCTGTCATCGACGACCGAGACTCTCCCGATCTTCATAAATGAACGGCCGATATTGATCCGGGAGACTTCAAGTGGGGTCTACCGTTTATCATCGTACCTTGTGGCCAACACAATGGTTTTCTTGCCGTACCTCCTCGGCGTGGCCGTACTGTACTCCGCCGCCGTCTACTTCCTCGCCGGGCTGTGCGCCACGTGGCAGGCGTTCGGGTTTTTCGTGCTGGTGATTTGGGTGATAGTGCTGATGGCGAACTCGTTCGTGATGTTTCTGAGCGCGGTGGCGCCGAACTTCATCGCCGGGACGTCGCTGGTGACGGCGCTGCTCGCCGGGTTCTTTTTGTTCTCCGGCTACTTCACGTCGAAGGACCGGACGCCGGCGTTCTGGAGGGCGATGCATTATCTGTCGATGTATAAGTACGCTCTGGACGCGCTGCTGATCAACGAGTTCTCGTGCCTGAAGGGGAGGTGCCTGGTGTGGTACGGCGGCGGAGAGGCGGCGACGTGCATTGTTGACGGCGGGGATGCGCTCCGGATTAGAGGGCTCCGGGAGGGGCAGCGGTGGGTTGACGTGTACGCGCTGCTTGGGTTCTTTGTGTTGTACAGAGTGCTTTGCTTGTTGGTTTTGATCAGAAGGGTTTCCAGCTCCAAGAAGTAACAAATAAATAAATAAATAATATTCCACTGCTATTTATTCTGTGTTTTCATTTCTAATAAGCTTTTGATCACTGCCATTCTTTTGAAGATAATGATGTTCTAATCAAACGTAATTGTCTCTCGGATCCATCCATTTTTGCCATTTGCTACAATTCTATCAGTTGCAAAAACGGGGGAAAGAGAAGGTTAATTTCATGTTAAGTCTTAAATGAACCAATTTTAGCCCGGCCTAACGAATTTTAGATGTAGGGACCAATTCTTGACCAATTCTATACTCCCTTCCTCCCAAATTATTTATCACATTTCTATTACTGAGACAAAATATCAAGTTTTTTCAATTCATTTTATTTACATATTGGTAAAGAAATAAAAAATAAAAATTACATATTAAAAAACTACATGAAAAATTTTCGAAATAAGAGGTGTCAAGAATATTTTATTTTATCAAATAACTAATAAAAACGTAGAAATAAATAAAAGTTTCCGCGACTGTTGAAAAAGCAAATATGACAAATAATTAGGGACGGAGGGAGTATGAAACATTGTACATTCAGGATGTTTGATACATGTACTCTTAAATATGTGTAATTCGTCTTAAAATTAACTTCCCATTTGATTTTTCACGGTCTCCAATGTGATACTTTGACCATTAATATATCAATTTTTATATAAATATATTTTATAAAAATTATATATTTCAAAACTATATTCTAAAATTAATCTGTTCCTAATAAATTTATATGAAAATTCAATGTAATTTTTCTTTAATCTACTATTAAAGTTTAAAAAAAGTTTGATGCAAGAGTCAAACTGGAAAGTCAAAATCATTTGTTACCAATCAAAATGCTACAATCCACAAATGACAATGCCACAAAAGAAGAAGATGAAAGAAGAAAAGAACAAAAAAGAGAGATAATAATGCCCCAAGAAAATTATAGGGTTGGATGGATAATTTGAATTTCTGGTAGGGGGGCCCTTATTATCTTTGTCTGCCTGGTTTTCTTTGCTGCAGTTTTGGGCATCAGTGTTTGGGCCTCTTGTTCACGGGTTGGTTGTCTCTTTCTTTTATCCTCTACACGTGAACCCGATATTTGCCCACAAAAATATTACTCTTTCTTCCTCAATTTAAATTATCAATTGGGAACAACGAGTTAAAAAATTCTACTAAAATCATTTTACTTACAAATAAATACATCAACGAAAAAAGAAATTATATATTTAAATGTTACGTCAAAAGTTATACAAAATAAGAAATGATAAGTATATTTTAGTTTATCGAATAATTAATAAAAACACACAAATAAACAAAGATTATCGAAAAGAAAAAAATTCAATCAAATTTGAGACGAAGGGAATATGATTTATTGAGTATGAAATATGACTATATGAGTCTCTTAACAAATTTAATCATTATTTATTTTAATTACAAATAGAAGTGGCTAACAAGGAACTAGAAATTAAGTTGTGGAATGTGGACCCTCGGAGTACCAGGTGTTTTTTTTTAAATTATGCGACCTGTAGTTCTCTACCACCATCCACTCCAAATTAGCAGTCACTCAACATCACATGAACGCCAATGTTACTCTCATCATCTCACTCACTTCACACCTGTAGATTGTAGTGTCTCACGTCCACTGCAATTATTACATTTTTATTTTTATTATCAATAATTACCTAATTCTATTCAAATTAAATTCTATCATTTATAAAATAATATTACAAAATAATAAAAGATTATTTTGCTATTATTAATTTATTTTTGTTATTAATATTTTTTTCTTTTTTTTAAATATTTTTCATTATTAATTTTTTCTATTTTTTATATCATAACAAATGACTGCACCAAAAATGCCAATTAATTAAAAAAATACATATATTACATGAATAAGAAAATTACACACATGCACTACTTAAATTAAGAAAAATAAAACATGAAAAAAAAACATGATAAGAATAAAAACAAATGAAATATAAACAATTTAGGCACAATCACATTCACGTTCGGCCTCATTGTTTTCTTAATTTTTTTTCTCTATCATCTAGATTAAGGCAAGATCACGTCTGTACATACTGTCATACTTCGCGCCAAGGATTGCCATGTCGGCCACCATTTGACGACTTCTTTTTATTTCGATGGAAGCTTTTTTACATCCAAAAAATCGGTCATTTGAATGGATAAGGAGTGCAACACCTTCTTGTACTCGCCGCCGCTCTTAGAGCTCGAAGTGACTTTTTCCTTGCCTCTCCTTTTCCTTTGAGTGATCCCATCCTATTGGCCTTGGCACATTGTGCACAAGGACCTCAACGTCCTCTTCCTTGTCGTTGAGGTTAACGTAGTAGTGGGCGTGAGACCATTAACTTTTTGTGAAAGTATCGTTAGACAATGAAGTCTTTGACCACTTAGACACTCGAAAGGTGTCGTTTCTTGCCAACGCATTGGCTTTTGCATAACCTTCCACACCACGGTACTTCCAATAATGTAGCCCACAATGCGCATAAAGTCTTGAAGCATAGCGTCGATGATATCTTGTTCACCCAAACCATTTTTTCTGTTTGTGTGGTAGGTGAATTGGATCCTCCGACACATCAATCAATCTTTCAGGCAACACACTCTCCTCCTCATCCAAGCAAATGAAACTTGTTCTTTTCGTCGGCAATGGCTCTGTGGGATTGGAAGTAGTGCCTTTTTTCTCTCAGAAGTTTTTCTTCCCGGACTCCGCTTCGAGGTGAGTAACTTGGTCATACAGAGGTTGCGTCTCCGGCATGTAATGAGGTTGCGTCTCTGAAATGAAGCAGAAATGTTAAACCTTAAGAGCCCCCAGCATTTGGATTTGGATTAAAGGGAGACGATAATTGTAAAAATACGAATGATTAGGATTGTTTGAATTCATTATGTGAGTAGAATTATAAAAGTTTATAAAGAAATATAATAAAAAGGCAAAATTGACAAAAATACTTCCAAAAATTACATATTTTACATAAATACTCCCAAATTTGTTTATTTACATCATTACTCTCACATTTGTCTATTATTTACATCATTGCTTCCAAAGTTGGTAGTGATCATTAGTGTTACTTGGATGCGTTTTTTTGCGCTAAGTGAACAGTTAAAATGCAAACATGTATTTTTTTTCACTCTAATATACCAAATTCACCTCAACTTATTCTCTCTATCGACTTTCTCACGTCTTAGTAAGCCTAATCATTGCCCTTATTTCCATCAATTTTTAAAAAAAATTCAGATTTCAAACTTCCTAAATCTTCTTAATGTTTAATATCAAGTCTGTTCATATTAATTTAATTTGAATTCAATAAAAAAAGATGAAGAACCCCGTTTAAAAAGACGCACCCGAGAAACACTGATGATGAAGCAATCGGAGAGTAACGACGTAAATAATAAACAAATGTGGGAGTAACAATGTAAATAAACAAATTTGGGAGTATTTATGTAAAATCTGTAATTTCTGAGAGTATTCTTGTAAATTTTGCCTAATAAAAATTGAATAATGAAGAAGTAAATGTGTTTGAAAATGGTTAGAATTAATTTTTTTAAATAGAAGATTGAGGTAATAGGTTTCAAATTTAAATTTTTATATTTTAAATAATTTTTTTTAATTAGGTCAAAGATTATCGTTGAAAGCCAATAAAGATTAAAAGAAAAAAACAACGGTCACTAGACGGGACCGTGACCAGGGCAGAGGTCACACACCGTCATCACGAGGGNGGGGGGGGGGGGGGGTTGGTCTCGTGACACCTCACCAACGTGGCGATGCCACAAAGGATCACGGGAGGAGAGGGCGGGCATTACGCCCAGCCTTCTAGACCTCTTTTCTTTATCCCAATATTTACTTCTCCTTTCCTATGACACCTCCTCTCATAATATTCATTTAAACTAAGTGGTATTGAGTGTCTGTGTGTCTCTTAATCCTTGGTGTACAAATGAGATATTTATATTTTATTTCAGTATACTCCTAGACAAATTCTTCTCCAATACTAAAATAGATGAATGGTAGCACAACACACTTGTAATTCCCAATAGGGTTATGCTTGAGGAACCCCAAGATTTGAACCAACTTTTAAATCATTCTTAGAGACATTTACAGATACTGAATAGTGTCAAATGCTTGTAATGTCTCTAAGGTTTGTAAGAAAGTGTGGCTCAAATGTTGGGATCAAAATAGCATTTTCCATCACAATATTATTAGTACATTATAAGAATTCAAAGGACTTCCTTAATTAAAACATGTTACTCACTTTGATCTTTGATGCAAGCCTCATACACAAACTGAGCAGTAAGAAGATCAACAGCAGCAGAACCAACTGATTTGAACACTGTTATCTCTTCTTCTTCTTCTTCTCCCTTTCTCCCAACCTTTTCCCCCTTTATCAGCTCCACCAAATGCCCAACTATACCCTCCTCCCTGGTAATCACCCCTCTCTCCACAGCACCAACCAGTTCCCCTGACTCTTCCATGGCTGCTTCACAGTCCACAAACACTCTCCCCCTGCGAATCGCCTCGTCGTCGCATTCCTTCATCGAAGGCTTGAAAGATCCCACCAGGTCCAAATGCGCACCCGCCTTCATCTCCTTTCCCTTCACCAATGGAGTCTCTGAACTTGTCGCGCAGCTCACTATGTCTCCCAGCCCCACCGCCTCCTCCAAAACCGTATTGCTCTCGAAAATCGGGCCTTCGGACCCGATTTCACCCTTCAATTTCTCAATTAGGGATTTTGCCCTAACTGGGGTTCGGTTCCAGATTATCACCCTCTTCAATCGAGGACGCACGGTGAGATGTGCTCTGATCAGATGCGGGGCTAATTCGCCGGCGCCGACCATCACCAGCGTCTCGGAGCTTTCTCTCGACAGGAATTTCGAAGCTAGGGCGGAGATGCAGGCGGTGCGGTAGAGGGTGAGGTCGTTGGCGCCCATGGCGGCTAGGGTTTGGCCGGTGAGGGAGCTGAAGAGCGAGTAAGTCGCGTGGACTCCGGGAAGGTTTAGGGCGGAGTTGTTGGGATGGACGGTGGCCAGCTTTACGCCGACGTATGGGAGGGAGGGGGAGAGGGACCAGGACGGCATGAGGAGGAGGGCGGAGGAGGGGCTCGTGTTGTGAGTGTGGCGGATTGGGGATGTGATTTGGGCGGGGAGGGTGGAGTGGAGGTGGCGGATGAGGGAGTCGTGCGTCAGGTGGCGGCGGAGTGTGGCGGCGGAAATGAAGATCGGGGTCGGAGTGCTAGTTGCCATTGTTGAAGGATGAGGAGAAGAACTGAAGAAGGGAATGCCGAGTGAGATGTGGAAGCGCCAATTGCATCTGTAGAAGTTTAAAAAAGTTACCAAAAATACATCAAACATTAAAATTGTTTTTGGACAAATTTTGGAATCATTGACTTTCTCGAATGATTATATGTTTTGAATTTTGACTAAAAATTTAAAATAAAATTTATTTTGTACTCTCTCTTTTATTTGGGTGAAATGTAAATAATATTACAACTCAAGGAAAAAAATTACAAATGGATCAGACGTTCTCGAACATCAAGCAGTTTACAATAACTAAAAAACATAGAGAACATCAAATATAGTTGCACGTAGACCAAGCTTAAAAATCAATCATACATGGCGGAAAATGCATATATAAAACTCTATAAATCACAACTTTAAGTTAGAAATAATAGAGGTAACACAAAGTGAGGAGTGATCGAAGCAAACTTTCCTAGCCCTCCAAACGTAGTACACAGTAACAGCAAAAGCCAGCCGCATAGCCTTCCTTTTGACGATTAGTCCTCCGCGAGACTTACACATCCACCTCTCAGCCCTGGCAAGAGTAGAGAGTTCCTTATCAGTGCCAAAACCAAACCTAAATCCCCAGTCATACTTGCGGAGTAATTTCACACCCAAAGAAGAGGGGTGCTAAGTCCTCAACTCTGCTGCCACACAGACTACATTGTCGTGGCATGTCAATGAAAATCAAGCTTTGTTTATGAGTAGTGTACCACGAAATGCAAGCCACAAAGGGAACCAAAATTTTGGTGGGATGTACACATCAACTGTAGCCTTCTCCATGAGCCATCCTTAATCACCCCACAAAAAGATAATGCCTTGATAACAATAAAAAACTCGGTTGACTAAAGGATCTTTCATAGCACAAAATTATCATTGAATCTGATTGCTTTGTTGTTACCAAAGACCTTGAGGAGCCTCACTTTGACGATTTCACACTTATTTGTTATGTTATTTATGCTTGTAAATTCATACCTCTTTGATATGTTCTAAATATGATCAACTGTAACCAGAAAAGAAAGAAATATGATAATTTAGATGAACATTAGAGACAAATGTTCATTCATTTGTTTCTTATTAAGCCATCCACAATACAACTATGGAATGTATATAAGTTATATAACCTAGTAAGTTACTATCTTAATGCGAATCCTAATAATATTAATTAGTGATACCAATCTTAATAATAATTAGTTATAATAATAATCTCTATATCACTCTTTCAGTAGAGAAAGATGTTTATTTACTTTTTTTGTTCTTCGTCCTAGGAACTTAGTTGCTTATGTTTTAGTTCAAGCAACAACTCGTTCTCCTCCGATCTTCAAGTTTAATTATACACTTCAATAATAAACCCAACCCCAGACTCTAGTTGGTCATTGTTTGTTAAAATGTTACTGCCTAGACGTTTTACTGGAATGTACATTGAACTAAAACTCGCCTTTCTTTTTCAGGACTCATGAGCACATTAGTTTGATCATTACATATCCCAATTTCCCAATCCATCTTGAGGGAGGTGGCAGTTCAATGTTTTTTCTTCACCAATAAAATATCGAAAGACGACGTGATAATCAAAGGGAATACTCTGTAACTAAGCAAATAGGAAGAAATTTGTCCCCGAAACACCATAATATTAAAACCTCGATGCTTGAACACAAAACAGACGCGGATAAAAGTTCAGACACCGGACTCAACTAGAGACATATAGAGAATGAACATTTAAAGAAGAAAAAAATAAAGAAGAAAAAAAAACCAAAGACCCAAACAGAGACAGACAAAATGATTACTTCATCATATGCTTCCCCTGCCCCTTAGTCGACCTCCTCCATCTTGCTCTCCTCGCCAGCTTCTTCCAAAGCAGGCATCTCTGCATCTTCATCACCGGCAGCTTCTTCATCGTCAATGCTGAGACCCAACTTCAGCATCCTGTGAATTCTGGCGCCAAAAGTACTCGGGTCATCGAGGCTGAACCCAGATGTGAGCAGCGCAGTCTCGAACAGGAGGAGAACCAGATCTTTCACGGACTTGTCGTTCTTGTCGGCCTCGGCTCTTTTCCTCAGCTCCTCCATGATTCCGTTGTCGGGGTTGATCTCCATCGTCTTCTTGCTGGACATGTAAGAGCCCATGCTGGTGTCTCTCAGTGCCTGGGCCTTCATGATCCTCTCCATATTCGCAGTCCATCCGTACTCGCCAGTCACCAAGCAGCAGGGAGAGTCGACGATCCTATCAGAGATCACCACCTTCTCGACCTTGTCCCCGAGGATGTCTTTGATGACCTTGCAAAGGCTCTCAAAGGATTTCTTCTTCTCTTCACGCGTCTTCTTCTCTTCTTCATCATCTTCTTCCAGCTTGAGACCTTCCTTGGTTGCAGACACCAGCTTCTTGCCATCGTACTCCTTAAGCTGACCGACTGCATACTCATCTATGGCGTCAACCATGAACAGAACTTCATAGCCTCTCTTCTTGAGACGTTCCAGGAAAGGTGAGTTCTCAACAGCTTTTTTGCTCTCTCCAGTGATGTAGTAGATGTCTTTCTGTTTCTCCTTCATCCTGGTGACATAGTCTTTCAGGCTTGTCAGCTCATCCCCACTCTTGGTCGAGTGATATCGCAGCAAGTCAGCCAACTTGGCTCTGTTCTGGCTGTCTTCATGGACTCCAAGTTTTAGATTCTTCGAGAATGATTCATAGAACTTGTTGTAGTCCTCCTTGTTCTCGGCAATCTCATTGAACATCTCAATGCATTTCTTGACAAGGTTCTTCCTGATCACCTTGAGGATCTTGTTCTGCTGCAAAGTCTCACGGGAAATGTTGAGTGGCAAATCATCAGAGTCCACAACACCCTTCACGAACCCAAGGTATTCGGGGATGAGCTCCTCGCAGTTGTCCATGATGAACACCCTCCTGACGTACAGCTTGATGTTGTTCATCTTCTTGCGGGTGTCAAAGAGATCAAAGGGCGCCCTCTTTGGAACGAAGAGGATGGCCTTGAACTCAAGCTGACCTTCAACAGAGAAATGCTTAACGGCAAGGTGGTCTTCCCAGTCATTGGTCAAGCTCTTGTAGAAAGAGGCATATTCCTCTTTGGTGATCTCTTCTGGCTTCCGCAGCCAGAGTGGTTTTTGTTTGTTGACGAGCTGCCATTCATGAGAGACCTCCTTGATCTTCTTCTTCTTTTTACCTTCTTTCTCCTTTTCCTCATCAACTTCCTCAATATCGCCTTCTTCTTCCTTCTTGGGCTCGTCATCCTCATCATCACTGATTTCCTTCTCAGTTGTCTTCTCGGTCCACAGGTGGATTGGGTAGCTAATGAACTCAGAATGCTTCTTCACGAGGTCCTTGAGTCGCCTCTCCTCCAAGTACTCCAACTGCAAAATATCAAACATAAGTCAAGATGCTTGCACAATCATTAACACGCATTATAATTCAGAAATTATTGAATTGCAAAATTATTTACCTGGTCCTCCTTGAGGAAGAGAGTGATCTTGGTTCCCCTTCCAAGCGGTTCTCCATCTACATCCCTAGTAACAGTGAACGAGCCACCAGCTTGAGATTCCCAGATGTACTGCTCATCATCATTGTGCTTGGTGGTCACAATAACCCTCTCAGCAACGAGGTAAGCAGAGTAGAAACCCACACCAAATTGACCAATCATGCTCACATCAGCCCCAGCCTGCAACGCCTCCATAAAGTCCTTGGTGCCAGACCTTGCAATCGTACCCAAATTGTTCACCAGATCTGTCCAAAACAACATCACGCATATAATCTAGCATCAGCAACGTTTCAGAAAGCTATGCATAGATATGAAGCTAAGTAAAATTGACACGAAAAAAGTAGATCCTAAACGTAATTTCAATTAAACTTATCATTACTGACACCTAATAAACTAAACCTCAGCTTCTTAAAGTTGGCAACTCAGTAATTTCTTTGGAACAGGCAATTCAGTAAATTATTCATCAAAAACACAGCAAAATAACAGTATCAAAAATTTAAGCAACTGAAGTGAACGTGGCGCTCAATAAAATGATAACTGTATGCATATATTGGTATTGAATTCCAGATCGTTTTCATTTTTAAGTTCATCAACGAGTGGTGATGAGCATTGTAGATCGTTATGAGCAAGTGATCAACGTATCAAACTGATGAACTGATGAGCGTGTAATGAAATCGAAAAATCGAACAATGAAAGGGCATATGCAGGAAACTATATCAGAAAACATGAATAAACCAGAACGAGAAGGAAATTGACGGTTACCTGCTTTGGTCATGCCGATACCGCTGTCAATGATAGAGAGCGTCTTGTTGGCCTTGTCAGGAACAAGGCGAATGAAGAGCTCCGGCTGGGCATCGAGTTTGCTCTTATCAGTCAAGCTCTCGAACCGGATCTTATCCAAAGCGTCGGAGCAATTGCTGATGAGCTCTCGCAGGAAAATCTCCTTGTTGCTGTAGAATGTGTTGATGATCAAGCTGAGCAGCTGGTTGATCTCCGCCTGGAAGGCGAAGGTCTCTGTTTCGGCCATCTGAACTTCCGCCATTAACGATCGAAGTTGCGTGAATCGGAGGCGCTTTAGAGAATTGATCTGTGTGAAATTGTGAATTGGCTTTGAGAGAGAGAGAGAGATCTCGTTTGATTTGATTCGTATGATCTGATGGGGAGAGTGGGGTGCGGTTTATATACGACCTGTAGCGAGTTCTAGGACCTTCCATCCGCCATGGGAAGGGAAAAGTTTGGTGCTACTTCCATGGCAGCTTCTGGAGTATTCTACGTCCCTCCAGGCGCTCAATTATCTTCGATGCTAACAAAACGATGTCGTAGAAAGGACAGGTCCTTTTACTTCTTCAATGAAGATCTCGAATGTTCCTGCACTTGTGCCGTGCCATGTGGCCCATGTAACCGTTTTGTTAACAATTTTAGTAATTTCAAAAACGAAAATACTCTCATCTTCTATTTAAAATATTACCTCCCTCCCAAAATATTTACAACATTTATTTTTTAGTAGTCGTGGGAATTTTTATTTATTTTTATGTTTTCATTGATTATTTGATAAAATAAAATATTCTTGACACTTATTATTTCAAAAAACTTTTCATGTAGTTTTTTAATATGTAAATTTTAATTTTATACCAATATGTATATAAAATGAATTCAAAAAACTTGATATTTTATTTCGAGAATACAAGCGTGTGGCAAATATCTTGGGATGGAGGAAGTAATCAAATTACTGGGCACTTTCACATTCGAATGTTTAAAATAATTTTTTTATATGTAGCCTTAATAAAAATAAGTATTACTATCTTCGTCCTAAAATACCTGATTTTTTAATCAAATTGTGACACAACTTTCCTTACAAATTGGGATAAATTATAATTAGTTATAAGTTAAAATTTAATATAATTAAACGCATGTTAAGATATAATCTTAATATATCAAATATTTAAAATATTTATTTTATAAATTATATTAAATTTTTGGTCAAAGAATGTCATAATTGTACATAAAAAAATTCAAAACAAGAAAAAAAATAAAATAGGAGAGAGGGAGTGTAATTGTATGAAAGGTATAAAATTATATTCATTAAGAAATCTATCCTTTTCTATTTTTCTCCCATTTTTTGGATGACATGAAATAATATTGAAATACATAGAAAAGGAATACAAATAAGATGGGTACCCCAAACATCAAGCTTTTTATGAATACCAAAACCACGGAACATTAAATAAAGTAGTACACATGCAAAGCTTAAAAATCATTCATACATTGACATTAGATCAGAAACCTTATACAAGACACTATAAATACAATCTTAATTTTAGAAATGATAGAAGTAACACAAAGTGAGGAGGAGTGATTAAAATAAATTGCGTTCCTAGCCCTCTAAATAGTACTATCGTAACAGTTAAAGTCAGCCACATAACCTTTCTCTTGACAACATATCTCATATGTGACTTATATATGTATCCATCTCCCAGCCATGGTAAGAATAGAGAGGTCCTTTTTAATGTCATGCCAAACCTCAATTCTCAATAATAAAGCGTGCAACATAACTTCACACCCAAAAAAAGGTATGCAAAGTCCTCAACTCCAAACAAGGAGTGCTAAGTCCTCAACTCCCATTTTGAGATCAATGGTAGTGGGCAAAAAGACTTTTTTTTGCTCTTCATTGAATTCAATATTGAAACCTTATTTTTCTACTTCAGAAATTCTTCATCATCCTCCTTCCACTGCCCACATCTCTAATTTTTTTAAAATGTTAAATCTTTCTTGATGCAATCATTTTTTGGTATACCATTGTGACTCGTGAGTGGTCCATCCAATTTTTTTATCCACCCATTTTTTCCTTTTCATTTTTTACATGCGCTTGTCAATGTTTTTATTTCCTTTTAAGGTCATGTTCTTTTAAATTGGAAAAACTAACATTTATTTTTTTTACTCTTTTTTAGTTTCTTCCAACAACGACTTAAAACGGTATTTATATACTCCTTCCGTCCCAAAAAGTCTTTCATGTTTCATTTTTTGCGCATTTCATAAAACACTTCTACTGACATCTAATTTGCCTAAAATTTACAACATTTCTTTTTTATTGTGGGTAGAAGTTATTTTGAAAGTTTTTTTGGGATTCAAGGCGGCATAAAAGTGTTTTTTGGGATGCGCAAAAAATAAAACAGGAAAGACTTTTTGGGACGGAGGGAGTATGATAAATATACAGTAACATTATATATATATCAAATTGCATAGAATTCCACCTCAAACACGAATGAGGATGATTTCTTTTTTATCTAAAATTAAAATTTTCTTACATATTTATTTGAATGACACTTTCATTGAGTAACTTTTTAGCATTTTAATTTTTTCAACATTTTCCAACTCCTTATGTTTTTTCCAATTGCTTCGAGTTTCTTTTAACTCTTTTCACTTTCTTCCAATATCAGATTCTTAAATTCTAACTCAAAAAAATAGAGCTAGAGTAGTGTTTTAACTCAAAATATCTTCTTTCTCTCCTATTTGGGTTGTTTCAATATTTTCTTCCTCTTTCATTTTTCATTTTAAGAAAACGAATATGTGCTTTATATCAATTATCTTTTCTCTACACAAACCACAAGCACTAACATTCTACTTTATTAAAAATCGCACCAAGTCAATCTCAAAAGATAATTTCAGAACAGAGAGATTTAAAATAAGGGTAAAAATATTTTTTTATTTATCACATTTTCTTTCCTCTCCCTTTTTCTCCTCATTTTCTACTTATCCAAACAACATTTATTTTATCCTCATTTTCTCTTGCCTCTATTTTCTTTCCATCCATTTTCTAACTTTCATTTTCTGTCTATCATATTCCAAAGTCCAAACAATGCCTAAAACGGTCCAAAACCTCAGGCCGAGTGCCCGTTGACTAGCCATAGTCAACAATCCTCCGTCATTTCCATTGCAGCGAACAATCAAGCATTCCATTGGCGCCAAGCCAGATGGAAATCTCCGGCTAAATCCGGTAGGCGCGACAATGAGAAAGAAGGCCAACAAAAAATCGATGCCGAGGCCTCAACAAAAACCGACGAAGACGGCTTCTTCATCCTCAATTTTCAAACTGAATCACAGGAAGACTTCCCTAACAGTTTCGGCAATCCTAGCGGTATGTTTGATAGCTCTCTTAAGCATTTCGTCGAGCAGGGAGCGCGCCTTTGGAGCTTCGAATCACCCCTTCCCCGATCAGCTTCTGTACACCGGCGAAGTAATCAACGAGTTCCCTCACGATCCAGACGCCTTTACTCAGGTCGGATTTTCTAACTCATTTCTACCTTTAAATTCTCAATGATTAATCTATGGTTGTTCTCACCATCACCATCAATTGAATCCATGTTAGGGTTTGTAGTAACCTTCTCACGAATAAACTCAAAGGGGAATTTACTTAAATAACACTAAAATAGCACCACATGTGTTTTTCTTCTCAATGTAGCACTTTTAGTCATTATGCATTAGTCATTATTCAAGCAAATATTCGCCATCATTGGACATTATTAAGTGCTATTTAGGGAATAAAACAGTTTAAGTGCTATTTAGAGAAATGATTTAAGTTTTAGTGCTATTCAGGGACATTATTAAGTTTTATTGTGACTGTTTGGCAATGCTATCTAACGGCAACATTTAGTCTTAGCATTTTCAAAGTTAATTTACACCATTAAAATTTTATTCAAAATGCTAACGTTAATTGAAAATGTTATTCCAAACAAGTTCATTATCTTCATTCACTTGCACTTCTAGTTTTAGTGCCATAATAAGATTTATACTCCGTATTTATAAATCAACATCTACAAAACATGATCATTGTTTCTTAGTCTTAATTGAGCTTAATATATTGACAATACTGGATAATGAAACTTTGTGCTTATTATGATCTACGGTTCCCATTTTTCCATAAGAATATTATGGATTGTGTAAATTTCATTACTTTTATGTTTCTCTAGACATTTGATTGATGTTTAGAAATGGTTTCGTTTGCATCTAATATGATAATAGTTTTTTTCTCAGGGTCTACTATATGCTGAAAATAATACCTTATTTGAATCAACTGGACTTAATGGACGAGTGAGTTTGAAATTGCTCTTAGACTCTAAAACTATGAGTTTGTAAGAAATATGATAAGGCTTCCAATCTGATTGTTTTATTCTTAACTGCAGTCATCTGTTAGGAGAGTTGCTCTTTCAACTGGCGAGGTATATTATGCAAATTCTTCAAAACGATTTGGATTTTCAGTGAACCAAAACAACTCTATTTTCATTGTCCGCTCACTTAATTGCTGCAACATTAAGAACAACATCAACCTATATAGTGAACTCCCACAAGTGTGATCTGGGGGGCATGGGTGTTCAAACCTTACCCTACCTACAAAGGATAGAGATGCTATTTCCAAAGCACCTTACTCCCTCAAGTGTCTGCTCTTTTGAACAATAGGCATTGTAAATGTGAAATTGTATTCGCGGATAAATGATTAGAGGTTTAGCTTTTATTGAATGTTTTGGAGTGGTTGCTTTGTATGATTGTATCTCAAACAGTTTTAGATCACAGGTAGAAGCTATTCACGTAATGCAGTATTCTGATTTTGGGGAGGGCTTAACGCTACTTGGTGACAGGTTTGCCAAGAAAACATAAGCTGTTTTGAAAATTTGTATCTCTTAATTTTTATTCTGGTGAACTGATTGACTATTTTTATTATTGGAAAAACCCCGAGTAAGTTTTTCCCTCTGAGCTAAAATTTGGAGATTTTGGAGTACTGATTTCTTTCTTATTTGGAATTGAACTGCAAACCTATGGTTTCTTTTTATGTCATAAACTCCAGTTCTTACCTCTATCTTATTTGCCATTGCATAATGTATTAATGTTAGAACTTTGGGTGCAATTCTGATACTGTCTCTGGATTTTATTTGTAGGTTATATCAAGTAACATGGCAGCACAATACTGGTTATATATATGACCGGCATAATATAAGCAAAGTGTGTTCAGTTTTTTGTTGCTTGCAATTATTTTTCTTATAAAGCTTTAGAACACTAAGCTCAGTCTATTTGCATGGCATGAAGTTTTTGGAAACTTTTAACCAATGCAGTTTGAGGGTTTTACTCATGAAATGCATGATGGTTGGGGATTGGCAACTGACGGGGGAGTTTTGTATGGCAGTGATGGATCTTCAACATTGTATCAGATTGATCCTTATTCTATGAAAGGTTCCAATGTTCCAAAGTCAAGGGAAATTCTGCTATTAGACTATTAGAGTGGTTTTTGCCATCTTCCCCTTTATCATTTTTGTTACCTTCTGAATAATGCAGTCATAAAAAAACATACTGTGGTGTATCAAGGGCAAGAAGTGCCGAATCTCAATGAGCTTGAGTTTGTCAATGGTGAAGTTTGGGCTAATGTGTGGATGGTATGAACCTTCTCTCACCTAGTAATGTTCTATTGTCATTATCAAGAACATTATGCTACGTGGTACGCGTCAGACGTCAGTGCATGTAACACCATTTTTTAATGCGGACTTCCTCC